TCTTTTTGCTTTTGTTCATCCACAAAAATCCCAAAGTTTGAAAGTGTCCTAGGAAGCTGAAAAAACCATATGATTGAATAACTACAGGCAAACAATAGGGCCTGTTACTAGCTTTTGTCTTATCTAGCCACATACTTTGTATTGCAAAATTTCAGCAATTCGTTAAGGTCTTGGAATTCTAGTGTATAAAGGTGGATTCAGATCCAGTGAGGGTTTCCGGAGACACTTACAGTGGGATTCCTCACAGTAAAAACAGTATTTCGGAAGATTTTACGGGAGGTTGTATTGGCTAACTACAGCTTGAAATTGCTTTAATTTTGGTTCGAAAAATTATAATTCACATCATTATATGGCAATCAGAAAATGATTTGATGACTTATGTTACTTTAATAATAAAGGGAAAAACAGGAAATTATTTGTACCCCAAAATACTGATTTCCACTTGGAAATCATCATGTTAGAGCCATCATGTTTCACGGTAGAATTCTTGAAGGCCTAGGTAAATCACTCAAATTTTTGGATTAGGAAATATATGAATAGATATTGGAAAGATATATTTAACTTTAGTTATAGAAGTTTCTAATGTCATGATCATTATCTCAATTTAAAATCACATGCATTCTGAAGTAAATTTTTGCATTAGGAGTTATTAATTTTCTCCCTGAAACTTCAAGTCTAGCTTTATTAAGAGAAATTAGTTTTATGTATAGGGTTGAGAATACTGCTATATTTTACATACTGTATCTAGATATGAATGGCCACTCTGCATATCCTCATATGTTCAGAGTTACAGATGTCCCATTTTCAGCTTTTAGGAGCTGAATTTTTGTGATACTTGACATATTTCTAACAAGAATGTGTAGGTTTGTCCTCTACCTGAAGATACTACCTTCCGTATAACTGCTTATCTGGTAGCGAAAAAGAGAAACACACCCAAATTCTTAAGGTGGCAGCTTTTTTGGAGATTCTTAATTATTTTAGGTTGTTTAATTATTTCTCCATTGCTGATTTAATGAAGATCAAACCGAAATACAAACCTGCCAGAGACATTAATAATTTTTGCATTTATTTTTAAAAGGTAAATGTAAAATGTACTTGGGCTTGGATTATATAGTATCAATTCCTTTATTCAAGGAAATTCCTTTGTTTTTAAAAGTTATTTAGGGGAAAAACAGAAGACTGTGAGCTTGAAGGTTGTTTCATAGCTGGCTTTTTGTAGGTACGAATTCTCTGGAACACAATGCTTTTACAGCAGTACCAGAAAGAGAACTGGGGCCGCGGGTTCCTCCAGAGGCCTCCTGGGAGCCAGGCTGCTGTCTGTCAGTGTTTGCACGAGCCTGAGCACGGAGGCTGCCTTAAACAATGCTGCTCAGCCCGGTCTGTCCTCCACCTCCCCGCCCCCTTCTCTTCCCGGGGAATCTGGCTTTCCTGTCACTCAGGAACAAGATGCCCTGCAAGCATCCCTGAGATCCAAAAAGTCACTGTAATCTCATCAAGAATGTGATTGCCCAGCTGGGGTTTTGAATTGATAGAACCTGAAGGTGGCTGACGGGGTGTCTAATCCCCCTGATTGGTGTGCTCAGCTTCGGCACCGTTTAAAATCAAAGTCCTCTTGTAAAGATGACCTCATTAGTGGACAATTAGAAAAGATGTGTTCCCAAATTAGTACAGACGTAATTAGAAACCTATAATTTAACCTAATATTTTTACCTATCAAAACAATGTCCCTTCACACAGCGTGGCTGGAAAAGAGCTCAGCCCAGGCCTGGAGACTACTGGGGACAAGATTGGATACACACCTGTCCTGTGTGCCCAATAGGACACTAACGAGTTCTGTTACTTTTTAACCCTGAGATAAAACCATTCGTTAGAGAAACCTTACTACAGATTCCAGTAGATGCCTTGATTATTTGTTCTAATTAATGAATCAATGGTTTTCTTAATGTTTTTTCACATATTTTATTTTATGTGATTTCCCGACTAATCATTTTTAGGCTTCTTGACCTCAAAGATCTTAACATAAGGAAGAAATAATTTTAGAAGCTGCTTCCCTATTTATCTTCTCACTCCGCCTGCAATAAATTGTCCATATTCTTATATCTGGGATACATACTGGTCTCAATATGTGCATAGTGATGTTATAATGCATAGTAATGTCACGAACAACACTATGATCGCGGTGCTATTCTGTGACAGATCACGTGAGTGTAGAAAAATCCACACTTTGCTTTTCTCATGTCTGCCTCGTTTAATTGATTTTTAGTGCTAACATGCATTGAGAAGTGATTAATTTTTTTTCCTCGCGACAGTGACTTTTGACCCTAGCTGGAATTTTGTAAGCTTGCTTTTTCTAAATATTGCAAATAAAATTTGAGTAGCTCAAAGGGGCACATGAATAGCAGAAAGTTGGAAAAGCGATTTAAAAGTATATCTAAGACATAAGGACTTCATCTCATTTAAAAAATGTACTCCATATATTTTTGCTGTTTATCTTCGTAAACATATATGTTTATCAAGATACAAGATTACATAAGTATATATTTATAATCTTGTTTCCAGTTGGCATCTGAGAGCAAGCTGGCATCTCTCTGTCATACATAGACACATAAATGTGAATATATATGAATATATATGCACATGTTTATTTTTCATATGTGAATCTGTAACCAGAGATCTGTAATTGCATGGATATGCTTGGATCTAACTTATCTCGTTAAAAATGACTACATTTATATAAGTGTGCATACTTATATAAAATTTATTCTTAGTTGGCATCAGCAAGCAAGTTAGCATCTGGTATAAACTTTTAAGTTTTCATTTACTGCTTGCGTGTGTGTGTGTGTGTGTGTGTGTGTGTGTGTAAGTATGAATATTAGAGTGAGTGTGTTGTGTTTCATATTACTTCCTATAGTTCCTTTAATAATGATTAAATAAATACAATTGAGATATATAATTATTACATTTACCACTCAAAAGTTAATTTTAGAAAGTAGTAAAGGGGTTTTTCTCACTAACCGAATCAAATGATGGGGATTCACTCAGTTATGCATGGTGAGCTGGAAAGGAGAAAACTGATTAAACCATCAGAGATATGGGGTAAAATATTAATAAGATCAGTCCTATTTTTATGAGAATAGTGGAACATTTTGTTTGTGCTTTTAGAAAACAGTTCACAAGTTGCATTTTTTGATATCCATATATGCAAACTTAGATTAGGTAAATTATAGCGTATCAACGATATGTTCTTAATATAGTTATTTTGAAATTTATTGTATTGGTTGAGGACAGTTTTTTAAAAAATTCTTTTTAGTGCAGATGCGAAAAGTCTGTTTGCTTTCCAAAATAGTTATTTTATTCATTTGAATTTCTAAGTGACATCTTAATCAACGAATACACTTATTTTCTTAGATGACGCTATTACAATAGGACAATGTCAACCAAATAACTCATGCATGAGAAAGCAAATAAAAGCTAATCTCAATTAGAATGTTTGTTGTAGAATTTTTAATGTATTTTCTGAGATATGGAATTCAAGTGCTATTAACATTCTTTTAAGATGTATTTACAAGGTATATATATGTGTGTATGTGTGTGTTCATGTATTTCTGTGTATCTACTCAATATATTGGCAATGTGCATTTAACACGCCAATGTATATACTTATTTATCCTTGACAGCCATCTAATAATCTATACAGACTTGCTGGACTGGTCTAAATAATAAAATCAACTCTTTCATTGGCCTCCATAGGAAAATGTATTCTTAGCTTGTTGTTTCTTATATCCCTTCACTGTGTATTAATGTGATTATTTATGTATACCGTTAGAATACATACAGGATGAAGTGGCATGATGAATTATTAGACTGTTAATATACAGAGGAAAATTCAAGCTTAACTACCATTTGCCTAACAAACAAACAAACAAACAAAAAAACTTCATAGTAACCATGAGCTTTTTGTTAAAACGATTGTTTATACTTTTGGTACTAGCTTGTTACTCCTTTGGAAAACCATTTACAGCATTTTTATGGTACAAAAGGGTAGTTATTCTCCACTGAGTGTATTGATTAGTATCAGTTCAGTTTATGCATATATCAATTTGTTGAAAATATAATAAAAACTCGTTCACTTTAAAATAGTGATATGTTTCGTCAGTATAGTTCTCATTAGATTATATATAGAAATGTGTTTAGCGTTTAGTAATTGATAAATGATGAGGTAATATTGATGTGATATTTGTTGTTACCTTGTCATAAAAAAAAAAAAAATCTCCAGAGTAAAGAAATTACTTCACTGAATTCAGAACATCAGCTTCACATAGATTGCATGTGTGTGTATATATTGTGCTATTGTACATAAAAACAGTGGTTGAAATTTCAGTTTAATTTTTTGGCTGCATTTTTTTAGTGTGGCTGGAGGCTCAGAGTAAGGCAATTGTCGTCATTTTAACAGCATACAGCGCTTGTGTGTCTCCCATCGAAGAGTATGCATAGCTGATTATTTCTTCTGAAATACAAAAACAGATAAATGAAGACGTACCATGAAAAATGACTAATATAGAAAGCTAACCGGCAGAAATGAATTCTTTCCTGGCCATCTGTGGGCATGTCACCCTGACACTGAGATGATGTAGGCCTCCTGCAAGGCAGACACAGATTTTTAGTGCTGTGCTGTCTGGTCCTCCTACTATTGGTTAAGAGCTCGAAGCTTCCCTTTATTCTGATTGCTATCTATGAATGTTTCAGGCTGTTATTTCCTATACACTTTAAACCAATGTGTTTTAATCATTATATTCAGTAAATTACCATTAAATTCATTATTCTAATGTTTGTAATGTTTTAAGATCGAACATCTCGTTTTTTATTAAATGTGGAAATAGATAAGTCATTATGTGGTATATCACTAACTAAAAATATTGCTGAAGTGTAAAGGAGAAAAATCTAATTTTGTGTTCGCATAGAAAGAAAGCTTAACTTGTTTTCTTGCTCTTTTTTTATAGAGAACACCTGTTCCCAGCGCCGAAGCATTCCGATGGTTCTTTTAAAGCAGTAGTATATCTTATTTTCAAGGCATTTGGAAATGAAGGGCAAACTAATGTCTTGTTTTAAGAAACTGCTTAGTCCACCACTGAAGAAAATATCCAGAAATTATTTTCATTTTATGTATAGGGGTTTCTTCAAAAAAAAAAAAAAAAAAGAGGAAAAGAAAAAAGACATAAAAATAACGTGGGAGTTTGGGGAATCGGCCAGTCTATTTACTTTCCATACACTGATTCTTTCTTTGATGTAATTTAGCTCTACTAGTGAAGTTGTTGTCTATTTTGAAAGTGGCTGTAAAAAAATAAGTTTGGGTAAACCCCTGCTGTAAAATCATGTATCTTTGCAAAGTACATATCTATACTTCATTTTCAAATATATGTGTTTCGGTACTGTAAACTGTACAGATAGCAGCTTGTATTTTGCGTGTTTAGACACAAGGAGACAATCACGTCTGAGCATCTATGGAGATTAACAGTTTGTACACAACAGTATGGTTCTGCGAGTTAAATCTGGAGCAATAAATTTTAGCTTTAAATATTTTTTGCCAGTTGTTTCTGGAAGCGGCAGCAGCCCTGGCACCATTTTTGCCAATGCATCTTCCCGTAGAGACTCGATGCCAGGTTTTACAAGACTGGAAGATGACGATGCATCCGGCAGTTACCTTCGGTTGTATTGTTGTAAGCGGGGAAGATGGTACGAAAGTTTCAATTAATCTTTTGAGCACTGTATTAGAGTAGTGGTTATGCACTTGCATTGCTGACAAGACGAGCTGTACAGAAGGGCGAACCCCTCAAATACTTAGTGTAGTTGACTTGTCTTAGGTTGCACTGCCAGGAGAAGTACTCAGAGTAGTTGGAAAATGCAGAATCAGTTGTATGATTTAAAAAAAAAAAACACAAAAACAGTGTTTTCTAGACTAAAGTATCATATCTTAGGGGGAGAAAATACATGATTGACTTTTTTTTTACCCAGCCCAACATGAGCTGTATACGTTTTTTTTTGTTTGTTTGTTTATTTTTTGCTTATCTTTTTTGGTAGGAAAAATAAAAACTTAAAAGAGTATCCAAATGTTTTAATTCCATGTGTGATATTAAATGGGTAGTTTTGTTTTAACACTTGGTTATGTTGGGGCCACCTGCCTTTAGGCATGGCTGGATGTATTTTTCATTTGAAAGAATGAAACACCTTCATAAAAGTGAAGTGTTTTCTCTCTTTTTAATCTTTCTTTCTCAGAGCCCCCCTGTTGGACCAGTAGTCTTCCTCTACTGGAGTCATGCACTCCTGTTCTTGTCAGGTGATGCTTTCATTCCTGAGAAGGCAGGGCCACAGCCTGTGGAATTTGATAAATGCAAGATAGCACCCACCCCCAATCACACACACACACACACACACACACAAAGGATCTACTGCTTGCTAGAACTTGTGCTACCTTTTCATATAGGATCTGGTTTTCTTAGCACAGGTTCTTAAATCTGTCCCAGTAGGACAAATATTATTTGCATTTTTTTTTCCAGATCATAAAAACTATTTTCAGTTTTACGAATAGAACAGAGGTTGGCAAAAATACATGACATGTTACTGCTCCTTTTTGTTCTTTGTCCACTAGCCAGTTGTTTGAGCCCACTACATCCATTGCTGAAGATGTTAGCACAACAGATCAGGAGAAGGAAAATAATTTGAGAAGAGAGAGTGATGGAACAATGAAAGAGGCTGTAAAGTTTTGGAAAGACCAGCAGGGGAATATTTTTTTTAAATCTAGTTGTGGTTTTGAATGGGAAATGATAGGACAGAAAAGATTTTTTAGAAAAGCAGAAGGAGTGCTCCATCATGAGAGTCCCGGGGAGGGATGGAAAAGCAGGGACAGATGCCAGCATGAAAAACAAGCGTGACCTCACTTGCCTACAGTATGAATATGTGGTCTACAGGCATGGTCAAAAGCCTTTTTTGAGAAAAATTCACCATGTATCACTCCTGTCCATACTTAGAGATGAGAATTAAATAATAACGAGCTAAAATGTGCTATATACTGTATTACTTTTGTGATAACTTTCTACTTGTATATTCCTTTGAGGGTCTCTAGTTAGAATTTCTGCTGTAGGACCAATGAGAGCTATATGAGTTCTCTCTTGTTCCATGTTTATTTTATTTAACTTTTTTTGTTTACCAATTTGCTAATTAATTACAAGTTAAGTGAAAACTTACTTTCACACTTGAATGGTAAGCTTGCCTTGCTTTTTGGGAAACGATGATTGTTATTACAGAAGTGAAACAAACTTGTATTCAGGCTGTGTTAGACACAAAGATCTCATAAAAATGTGCTGAGAGTCTAAAATACATTCTACTATTGCATGTCTTGACGTTTTTGTTTGTTTGCTTTTTAAAAGAACTAATGAATCTGTATATTGTGAAATGTGGTGTTTTACCTGTCAATTCGTTTCTTTAAAGGAAAGCAAATTTGTTGATTACTGAAATGGGAAAGTGTAGCTTTTCTTTAATTCTCTCAAGTTTTTCTTATTGATACTATTCTTTTATATCACCCACTTTTTAATGTTTTTGATTAAACTCTATTTATGTAATGTAGGGTGAATATAAAGTTCTCATTGGTGATGTTAAAGAAAGATACTATTCTTCTGGCCTCCCTCTAGTTTTTTCCTCTTATGTCCATGTGCTGAGAACTTGTAAAGCATATCATTATCCTAAGGCAATGATCTGAAGGTTTACATTTTTTGTGATTCTAAAATACCAATGACATGTAGCTTTTAAAAATTCCTCACTGTATGTTACGTATTCAATATCGAGAAAATTCAAAATATAGATTGTATGGACTATCTATACAACAGATTGTGTGGACTATCTGTACAACTTGAAAAATCATATATCAGATAATCTGAATAAAACACTTTGTGCGAGAGGTCCACATGTGCAGGGTCTGGTCTTCTCTAGGTGTGGTCAGGAAGGTTCCATACGCTGCCAAGATTTGGGGCGAGCAGGGAAAATACTTGTGATGTCGGTACATGGTGCTGTGAGCCAACATCCTTTTCGGCTGATACTCAGCACCCTGACATCCCAAGAATATCATAGTGCAAACCTCCCTCTTTCCAGGTCTTCAGACCAAAATGGTTTTCTGATGGACTCTGCCTGTCTGTGTACAAGTGGGGGCACATTCACAGAGTAGAAATGTATCCATTCTTGGGAGAGAAAATAGCAATGGTCCTCCCCCAACGTAAGAATATATAAAAATGTCTCCTGCTTAATCCCCAACACTCAAATTTCTCCTTCTGAAAACATTTACAGGGGGAGCAAGAGATGGTGGGCTTGCTATGAATTACTATTAAGCAATCACAAAAAAAGAAAGGATTATTCCTTTACTTTCATTCAGAGCCCCTGGCATGCAAGCCGTGCAATTAATGCTAAAGCATATAAAGTCTTTAAGCTGATAGTATCTGTAATCAAATAATGAAAAAAGGAAGGCGGTTAAATGAACACACGATTCAGGGTCAAATACGTTCAGCAAAAAGCTGTAGTGGGTCTTTGATCATGGTGAGAGTCACAGTGATACCAAACAGTTGGTTCTCATGTAACAGCTAAATGTTTCAGATTTTGTTTTTTATTAAATTTGGCATTTCACACTGAGATCTGTATTCCTAGCGAATAAAAGACAGCTACGATGTTAGGAGGGATTCCACTTTTACAATTGCAAAATAGTCAGAGATATTCTAAGAACATGGGCCACAAAACGTGCTCCTTTCCCGGTGTTCTCCTATTCTGAACTGTGCAGTTATCTATTAAATTTTCTAATAGACATTTGTGTAAGGTGTATGTATGCTTGTGCGATTATTTAAAAAGCAGTTTTGGAAAACAGTGTATTTATTAAAGAAAATCACTTATGGGGCATGTACAAAACTGTAAAAAAAAAAAAAAAAAAACTTTAAAAAATCACATTCAATTTGCCCAGTAAAGTTGTTTTTGTGAAATTTCTGTGTTGTTGAATAAAGGACTTTAGTATTCAAAATACCTCTATTTTTCCATGGACAAATTTTATTTGTGGGATTTTAAGGAATGAGCATATGATCGTGAAAATCTTATTTTGTTTATGATAAAAGAAGTTTATAATTCTCCACTTGCCCTTATGTCCGTGAAATGAATGCTGTGTATAAATCTTTCATAAAATATGTTCATTTTTGGTTTCATAAAATGATGTTCATTTTTGGTTTTCCTTATATATTTTTCCTTCCTCATATATTTAAAGAAAAGAAAAAAAGAACGTCATTCCTCGTACATTTCTAAAGGATCTGTTTTTCTTGAAAACTTATTTCCTAAATAGAGGAAGAACTGCATGCACCCAAACATCCATCCTTCCTTCTCTGTCCTACGTGTGCTAGGAGAAAACACCCCACGCATTCCTTACACCACGAATGAAAAGTCCTGGTGATGATGTCTGAAAACATTAATGTGCAAGAAGAAATGAGAAACACTGGAATTATGTCTTTCGCCACTCTCAGCGATACTCAGAGATGAAATTTTTATTGTGTTTCTGTTCAGTTACGGAATATCGTGGTCCACCTGTGCTGCTTATTAGTTGGTGGTCAACGTGCTTAATCCTCCTTTCACTGCTTCTCAGTACGACGTCTATTTCTTAAATGCCTTACAAACTACAAGAAATGTAGAGCATGGTTTTATATCTTGGAAATCCTTAATATGGTAACAAACAGAATTTTATACAATGGAAAGAGTTTTTGTCCATAGCGTATAATACCTTATTAGAAGATTTTTATAAATTTGTTAAACATTAGCATATGTCTTGTTAGTATAATATCTGGGCTAAGGCAACGGAATTGGATAATACAGGACAAGAAGAAGAATTAGGTAATTTGAATTATGGGAGCTCCTGAATACTCACAAATTTTGCAGGTAAGTCACTGTGCTTCTTGGTTGTATTTTGGTTTAGCGACAATATGGCAAATAGATTAAACTGAATTTTTTTAGATAATTTTTTTTTACTTGAGGTTGTGAAAGA